ATTCCCAAAAAAACTTCCCAGTAAACCCCAGCCCTTTTAAAAAAAAAAAAAAAAAAAAAAAATCAAGGTTCATAATCCCTGTTAAACTGTATGTTCCACCAACTTGCACACAAGACTGATGATTCTCCCAGCACAGCAGAATTTTGTGACTCCCATTTAGACATTTGAGGACCCTAATGCTGACCTCAAGACTACAGTAATTAAGTTAGAAAAAAAAGAAAAACAAATCCCATACCCCACCATAGGATGGAGAAACATGGGGAAATGATACTAAGTTTTTCTATACCATTGAACCCTTTCCCATCAAACATTTTCCAAAGAAAAGTGGTAGAGATGCAATCTGTCTGTCTTAAAAGTTAGTAATTAACAACAAAAGTATTCAAAGTGAAAAAACACATGTTCTTATACTTAATTTTGTATGTTTCTATAGCACTACTATTACTGCTTTGCCAACTTAAAGACAGAAACGTGCCAAAGTAAGCAACCTATAGCAGAAAGGCAGGTCTTTAGAATAAGAACTATACCTGAATGAGTCTCAAAGAAGAGAGTCTAGCTTCTGGATTTCAGCAATGAAACAGTAAAGAAGTGAACATGCATCAGGTATGACAAAAAAACTAATGGTTGATTAGTAAAAAGAAGAAATGAAAGACACATGAACAAAACTAAGTTAAAGCAGCATGAACTATAATCATCTAGGTATGCACAGAAAACAGCCACTTGCATTTCTAGCAAAACACAAAATCACAGTAGGTTACAACATACACATGCCAAATAAAATTAAAAAAGCAGATAATGTCATCTTATTACACAACTAGAAAAACTAACCAGAAACTAAATGCCAAGCATGCTAAAAAACACTTTCTACAAGCTTAGAGAAACAGAAGCTTTTTCTAGTCACAGTCTACCATGCTGATACTTTGGCAAGAGAAGCTGAATTTGCTTACCTCCTGCAAAAGATCTGCCTGTTCAATGGCTTTGAGAACATTTTTCTTGGAAGTCTCCTGAACTTCCCCTCCCAAAAGGAACTCATCCAGAATGAAATAGGCTTTTTCAAAATTGAAGATGATATCAAGTTCACATACCTAAAAAGAACATCAAGCATTATTGCAAAATGAGAGGATACCATCTACTGAGGTATATTCTCTCACAAAACGTAACTCGTTCACAGCTTCACCAAACTTCACCAAATCAAGATGTTGAACTCATGGTAAAAACCTTTTAAGAAGTGGGGCAACAAAAAAATATCAGTCCTTGGAGGAAAAATAAGAATGAAAAATCTTTTCTTTGCTTGAGTTAAAATCAGTTATAGCAAGCTCTTTGAAAAGCATTTTCATTGTTAAAAAGGGTTCGATTCACAACTGTCAGTCTGACGTGGCTCTTCACACGACAAGAGAATATCCCAAATTGAAGTTCTCTTCTTGCCTGCAATATCCAAGGCCAGATCATGCAATCTTACAGAATAATTTGAAAACACAATCTCGAATTTCTTATTCATGCTGCGCATTTCCTACTTAGGACTAGGAAAGCAGAAGGATGAGAAGCTTTTTTTCTAAAAGTGCTTATGTACATTACTACAGTTGTTTGTGTTTGTTATTTGGGTAAGCAGATGTCTGCCTTTTCTTTCTCTACCCCTCCTGCTATTTTCACAACCAACTGCCTCCTTTGGAAGCAGATATAAGAAGTGCTCACACACTACAGCAGTGCTAGGGAGAAGAAAGCTGGGCGCCTAGACAGAAAGCTAAGGATAAGATTTTATGTGACCTCAAGTGAGACTACTATGAAATGAAATAAATACAGGCAATTAACACCACATTATTAACAGTTCTTCTCCTAAATTAATAATTTAATTTTGGATTTTAACAGTTACATAGGCAACTATCAATTTAGTTTGGACAAGCAAGCAACATAAGATGTGTTAGATACACCAGTTCAACAGCTCATTGATCATGTTTTTTAAAAGTGCTGTGGGCATAAAACAAAATGACATAATATAAAGAGACTGTGAATCTATAAAAATTAAAAAGAAATTACTAACTCACACTGCCAAAATACTTGTCAAGGAGTTCTACATAGCGATGAATTATTTCCAGAGTTATTAGTTCATTGTCCTGATCTTCAATAGCACAGCAGAAATAGAGGCTTGCGTATCTGTAATAAAAGAAATGATCCTGGTGTTAGCGTAAGAATTCGAGCAAAATGAGTGCACTTGAGATGTATTAGCTTCTAAGTAGTCCTTCATACCCAAGTTTACCATACTATTACTCTAAATCAACAGCCATGCATGTTCTAACAAAGAATGCCTGAAAGACCAGCAAACATATGCACGTACAAAAGGGATCTGCCTCCTCGCATCAAGGCAGGCATCAGTCTTTACCATCCTTTTGATGATGGAATTAAATTAGCCTAAGAAGTGGCTGGAGAAAGAAATGTATTCAGTTTTTTGGCCTCATGGCAGAGTTCTGAGGCAAGATGTTTTCTCTATTATCTGTAACATTCAGACACTGGCATACTAATCAACAGATTCAATCTTAAATTTATATCACATAAGCCACACACAGAAAATAAAAACTATAGAGAATGCCTTGGGAAAGATAAATTGGGTTTGGTCTTTATAGAGAATTTAACAAATGTCAACTCCAAATTGTTTTAAGTTGCAACAAATTGCAAATTCCAAAACTGACACTAATGTCATATACCCCAATTGCTATTAAGTCAAGAACTCAATCACTACCAACTGTTCTGGTATCAGACTAAGGAGAGGCCATCACCTAGTTTCTAGCAATCCACTTCCACCTTGGAAGACAAGGAATTCTTTACTTCAGATATGATCTTGAGTTCCACTTTAACAAAAAGACCATCCAATTCTATCTTGCACTATCATACACTTTTTCCAATCGTGTTTAAAAAAGCTGATGCAAAAACAAAACAGGAATGAAAGCCTGAAAAACTCATTTAGTCTTTTCTAAAGTGCCAAAACCATATGCCATACAGGCACACATGGCACAAATGAGATTTCAAGTAACACCTGTTTTAACTGATATTTTACATGAACCAGAAAGAGCTTTTGTTTTCCTGTTTAGAGAGGACAACTGGCCAAATGAAGCACGCTTAGAGTAGCCAGCCCTATTTAAAAAGAAGTCATTCAGATGTGAATGGCAAGTTTAAGATCCATATTTTGTTTCCCATACGCAGAAACACATACACCTTTTTAAACATTACACATACTTTAACAGCTGGGACTTTGTTCACCCCCAAATAAACAGTCAGGGGTTTTAGCTAGATGTCCTGCAAAAAAACCCTTGTATTTTATACTATGTTCAAATTTGTCTCCCCGACACTCATAATTTATGATCTGAAAGCCCCCTCCCACTCTCTAGCTGAGTCAAATTGCTATGGCTTCATCATGAACAACCGATCGGTTACTTTTATTCAGAAGTTTTAAACTTATAAAATTACTGCCTATGACTTCTTCCCATCCTTGCACAAAACATAATGGGGGAGGGACAAAGGAAGACACCTCCATCGAAGCGCTTAACACTTTAATTCCCTTGCTCTTTCACCTCTTTGCCATGATGACTAGTAAATTCATCAGAAGTTCTATCTAAGCTCAGTTCTTTTGATTTTACACTGTAGTGTTTGTGCCTTGCTAATTTTTCAAGGACATTTACAGTCACTGTAATAGCTCACAAAGTTCAACCTGTATAAGTTACCTTTTAGACAATTAAGAAATATTGGAAAGGATACTATAAAGAAAAAAATATTTTCACACCTATTGAGGTGTGAAACCTCAAACTCAAATCAAACTCAGGAACTTGAACAGAAGTCTATGGGATCTCATGAGATGCATCCCAGAGTCCCCAGGGAATTGGCTGATGTAGCCACCAAGCCACTCTCCATATTTGAAAAGTCATAGCAGTTAAGTGAAGTCCCCAGTGACTGTAAAAAGGGAAAGATTGCACCCATTTTTAAAAAGGGTAGAAAGGAGAACCTTGGGAACTACCAACCCATCAGCCTCTCCTCTAAGCCTGGGAAGATCATGGAACAGATCCTCCTAGAAGTGATGCCAAAGCACATGGAGGACAGGGAGGTGATCCAAAACAGCCAGCATGGCTTCACCAAGGGCAAATCCTGCCTGACCAATACAGAGGCCTTCTATGATGGAGTGACTGCATCAGTGGACAAGGGAAGAGCTATGGATGTCATCTGTCTGGATTTCTGTTAACAGCTTTGACACGGTCCCCCACAGCATCCTTCTTTCTAAATTGGAGAAATATGGATTTGATGGGTGGACTGTTCAGTGGAGGAGGGATGAGTTGGATGGTTGCATCCAGAGGGTAGTGGTCAATGGGTCAATGTCCAGATGGAGGGTTGGTGTCAAGTGGTGTCCCTCATGGGTCTGTATTGGGACCAGTACCGTTCAATATCTTCATCAATGACATAAACAGTGGGATCAAGTACACCCACAGCAAGTTTGATGATGACCCCAAGCTGAGGGGTGTAGTTGACACACCTGACAGGATGCCATCCAGAGGGATCTGGAGAAGCTGAAAAAGTGGGCTCTTGTGAACCTCATGAGGTTCAACAAGGCCAAGTGCAAGGTCCTATGCCCAGGTCAGGACAACCCCCACTATCACTACTGCTGGGGGATGAAGGGATTGAGTGCAGCCCTGCCCTGCTTGGGGGCACTGGTGGATGAAAAGCTGGACATGAGCCAACAATGTGCACTCACAGCCCAGAAAGCCAACCATATCCTGGGCTGCATCAAAAGAAGCATGGCCAGCAGGTCAAAGGAGGCGATTCTGTCCCTCTACTCTGCTCTTGTGAGACCCCACCCGGAGTACTGCATCCAGCTTTGGAGTCTTTAGCAAAGGAAAGCCATAGACCTGTTGGAGTGGGTCCAATGGAGGGCCACAAAAATGATCAGAGGGCTGGAGCACCTCTCCTACGAGGACAGGCTGCAAGAATTGCAGTTGTTCAGCCTAGAGAAGTGTTGCAGTCTTTCCAATACTTAAAGGGGGCTTATAAGAAAGACAGGGACAGACTTTTTAGCAGGCCCTAAAGCGAGAGAACAAGGGGCAACGGCTTTAAACTAAAAGAGGGAAGATTTAGGCTAGATATAAGGAAGAAATTTTTTACAACGAGAGTAGTGAAACACTGGCATGGGTTGCCCAGAGGTGGTAGATGCACCATCCCTGGAAACATTCAAAGTCAGGTCTGATGGGGCTCTGAGCAACCTGATCTGGTTGAAGACATCCCTGCTTATTGCAGGGGGAATTGGGCTAGATGACCTTTAAAGGTCCCTTCCAACCTCATATTCAGATGAGCAGCCCTGATTATGATGAAGTGTAGTGAAGCTGTTCCCTTGCAGTGCTTAAACACAAGTTGAATCACATACCAGCAGACCTTATTCAAATCAAATTTGACTCAAATATTTGAAATTTATCCACATGGGACATTCCTTTTGTGCTTCCCCTATTACTGAAGAGTGTCTTTTGATCCACACAACTATTGTATACAAATTCCCCCAAAAAAGAGGGGGGCAGAAGAGACAGGGAGACTACCTAACATAAAATACTTTCCCGGAAAGTGGTCTGCTCAGTGTCCTCATTTAAAAAAAAATGCAATATACTTTTGAAAGACATTCTTTGGCAGCCAATGGGTAGACTACACATTCAACCTCTGCCAATTGCAGTTTACAAAAACTACTCAGTGCGCCTCTTAACACAAAATAGAGGCCCAGGTATCTATCATTATATGCAGAGAATATTTTTCAAAGTATTTTTTAAGCAGCAACTGTGACTAATGGATCACTGGTCAATAAAAGAAAACAAATGCAGATTCAATAAGCCCACATGGCAAATAGTGGAAAAGTATACACAAGTCAGCCATCATCACAAAGGGCACGACCATACTACAAAGGTATACCCTTTCTTCAGGCCCAGTTTCTCAAAGGAAACGGTTTATTCTCATTTTTTCCCTCTGCAGACCAGGGCTTCATAAAGTGTCCATATATAGTCTATGAGAGCTAAACTGCAGGTTTTGCCAGGTGTGGAAGCTTACATAGAGTGTCCATACAAAGACAAGTAGATTACTGTGCTCCAGCTGAAAAAGATTTCTGCTCTGCAGAAGCATTTTTTCCTAATGAGCCTGACAGAAACCTGTCTTTCTTATGCAACCAATGAAAAGGCAAATCCTGGTAGGAAAGTATGCCACATCACACAAAAGCAAATGTAGTCCAGTCTGAAAGAAACATTGTGCTCTTTTTATTCCTATTGCAATTGAGGGGTGGAGGGAGGGGGTCTTAGTAGGTATTAGGAGCGGAATCTTCAGCCCCTAGTCAGCTGCTTAGGGAAATACTTTATGATCAACACCCTCCATTTGTCAGAAAGGAGGCAAAAAAAAGTTTGAAAAAATCACTTAAGAATGTAATATGGAATAAAAGAACAAAAGGGAAACAAAGGAGGTATAAATACTCATACAAATTCCTGCCTTCAGGTAGATGACCTTAGCTTTTTTTTTTGTGGAAGGAAAGGGAAATTCACAAACCTCCTCCCCAACAGTTGCACTAGTTCTGTAGTGGGAAGCCTCACAATTGGCAGACAATGCTTCAGCAGAGCTCTCTGCTATGATCTGCTCACAGCCAGGTTCAGTAATTCTGCTGGGTGGCCAGGTCACTGTTGGCAGAGCATAACCTGCAAATCCTACCAGTTCTCCTACTAGACGTGTTGGGTTGGAAGGGACCTAAATTCTAACTGCAGAAATTTAAAGCCTACAGACTTTGGCAGGAGCCAACAATCAAGCTGCCTTTAAGAGGCAGAGAGGTGCTTAAGGGAGCCCAAGAATCTGGAGTTTGGTGATAGTTTACCACAGCTGAACCAGTGAAGTCTGGGACTGCTGAAGTTGTGCTTGGCAAAATATTATTTTTTTCCTTGTCTTTAATAAAACAGTAAGTTTGAGACTCTGGGACAGGCAGATCTGTCACTATTCAGTCAAAGATACAGAAATCAACAACAATAACACTACCCAACATAAGAATTTTCTTTTACAGTTTCTTGTTTCAGCAAGACCACACCCCCCAGTAGTTTAGAAATGAACAAAAGCTTGCTACTATTAATCCTCCAAGCAAAAGCTGCTGCTTCTTGATGCTGGAGGTCTTCCTAGTGCCACATTAACTACAATCCTTTACAATGAGGACCTAATCAAGTTAAAATGCCCAAACACAAGTACCTAATTCACTATAATCATGGCATTCAGTCAGTTTTACAGAGCCACCTAATCAACACCATAGTAACATTTTTAACAGATAAAACTGGCAGTTAAGATGTACATAAGGAAAGCCAGGGATGTCAATTGCTGGGCATATACCACTAGCCACAAGACTGCACCTTATGTTCTAAATATTTTGAGCTAAAATGCACACTACTTGAATAATGAGCTCTTTCATGGCTTCTTTCCAAGGAAGGAGGGGGAGGAGGGGAGGGCAAAAAGAAAGTTTAAAAACTTATTTTTCCATAAGTCTTTAATTTAACCTATGATTATAGTTATTTTATGTTAAATTAAAAGATGATTGCCACAACGTTAAGGGCAGCACAAGCATGGCAGTTTTGTAAGTTTATACTGCAAATACAGTTCCAAGCTGACGCATAAAAGTAAAACCACAATCCTTAATTGAATTACTAAAGTAAACCCTCATGATTTCAGTTAACCAAATGCTAACAAAGTAAGATCTACATAAAAATCATGTTATTCCACAATTTGCGATGATGACTGCAATATATTACACACGGAAAATAACTTATACTGCCAGAAGCTAAAATACTGAAAGCTGAGATCTTCACACAGAAAAAAAGAAAAAGAAAAAAATAATCACATCCTATCTTAAGTTCCATTTTTAGTAAAATTAGTAATTTAGTAAAATTTAGTAAAACATTTAACAAGCTTCTCTGTCACAGGAGGAAAGCTGCATGAACTTCTATCCTATATGCTCCAATACCACTAGTCGGTTTTTAAAATGACAAATCACAAAGAGTAATCATTAATTATGTTTGCTAAGTTTCTAATCAGCTGTCTGCAGATGACTCCCTCTCTATTTTCATAAGGTGCAATTGTTGTTGGTTTCCTATATTTGATTTTTTTTTTTTCCCCCAGCCAGTCACTTCAAATCTCTATTTGTCTCTTGAAGTTAGAAGCTCACACCATTTTTCAATCTTCTGGTGTCTACCAGCCTGAAAAACTCTCTTCCAAACCAGCTACAGAATACATACATTCAAATTAATGAAATTCCCATGTCAAAAGCAGGGCACCTTTCCATGTAAGTTTTGTAACCAACCATATTTTGCAACCATTATCAATCCTACGTGTACAAAATCAAAGAAAATAAAAGTTAGTCACACACATTCCAATGGATCTAAAACGCTTAGTTCTAAAATGATGTGTCATTCAGAAAACGTTCTATAAGGTTGAAATGCTACAGAGCTAAGGAAGCTAATCAAAATAATCCAGCTTTCTTGATAAATGTTAAGTATCAGAAGGCAGCAAAAGCTACTGGCTTGCCAATTTTGCATTTGAGTTCATACTGTTCTTGCAAAAAGGTACATCGATGAAACCCTTGAGTATACTTCTAATAATGCCAACCATTCTTTGAGTTGCAATATCTAGGTCAATTCTCTCTTACATGTTGACAGTAAATACACTCTAAAAACAAGAACAGCAGATCAATTTCAGCAAACTAAGACTCATAATAGCAATACACACACAACACGTATGCCTATGTACACACTTTTATAGCTTAAATTGAAAAACGTTTGCACCAGGAGTTCAAGATCCTTCCCAATAATAGATCAGACAAGAAGAGAGCTTAGCAGAGATGCTCAAGAGTCTGCTAGCAACTGGGAGCATATTTTGCAATTTCACAAACTACACAAAGTTGCTGCAGATGCGCTGGTCTTTTAAACATCCACCTTTCAGAAAGTATTAGGACTTTGACTATTGTGGTTGTCTTCTTGGGATTATCTGCTTTTGACCCAACATCTCTCCTTTCAAAGAAATCACACTAATTGGTAGACATCATTTTAATTACAGTGTGATGATTGGAAAAAGCCTGTCCCACAAACATAAAGACTGTCACAGTCATCAGATACAGGAATGTAACTACTATCTCTTGTACCCAGTCCTTCTGGTGATGTTTCAGCCTTATGAAACTTGCCAAAAAAGGCAAAATAAAACAGGATTTGAGACATTCATTAGCTTGATACAAGCTTATCTTCGGCAAGATTTCATTGGCCAACTGTGTCAGATTGGTTTGCAAACAGCAAAATAAGCTCCTGCAGTCAGCTATGCACACCAGCAATCTAGCAGATGGACTACATCCAGCCTAAAATGGTCTAAATACATCTCCCAGCAAATTTCTTCATTCTCCTTGACCACAGGACCTGCAGCCCACTACTGAGATGCGTGAACACCACAACTTTCAGCAACTCAAAACAGTCATACTTCAATTTCCACCAGTTCCCTAGATACAAAAGGACATTACAAGTACCTGTTAACAGCAACAGAGAGGAGAGGGGAAAGCAGCTGTGTGGAATCAACCCCACCAGAACAGCCTCTGTTGTTCAAGGCTGGGCAAGGAAGGGAATAGACTGACCGACTCATGCCTAATTTTTCTGATCTAGTCCCCTAAAAGCCCAGCTGAAAGAGCACTTGCAGACAGTATCACTTAAGGTAGCACACAAAGCAGTTGAGCAAGCTTAACTACAGGCACATACAATAAGTTTTGTGAGGAAGAAAAAACTGAGTATATTTTCTTCAAGCGCAGGTTCATGCATTGTTCCTCCTCTTTCCTTTTCCTTGTGTTAAAAGAAGATAGACTGGTAGCATACATGTGCATGATGTTACATGCATCAATGTATATGTGAAACCAGGACTTAAAACCTCTAAACCTTTTTGATTCTACCCATTTGGTACACTGGAAAAGAGTTACAAACTCTCCATTTCAGCTCCAGTTCTCTCTGTCCTACCTACAGAGAGAATACAATATTATTTACTGAAGGGCACAAATTATTTAACATCTCAAAGAGAAAATAAGAATGCATACATCTTCTGAAGTTTATAACTAACTAGGGAAGGGAGATAACTCCAGGCTTTGTAGCACCAGCTCTAGCTGGGAGAGATTCCCCCTATGGAATCAGGATGAGGGTTACTGTTATCTGTGGAGAAAACTATGTTTACAGTGCTACATTGTAACATGTGCTAAAGATCAGCACGAAGCTAAAAAATGGTTGCCAAATACTCCTAGAAAAGTTAGGGAACAACTGATAAATTAAACTATTGCAAAGAAAATACAGTGCTTCCACGAAAAGAAAGCTAGCCATGATTTCTTAAATTAGGATAAATGCCTGTTTGTATTCATAGCAAAAATAATAATAAATAGAATTTAAAAAAACCAAACTGGGTACTATGAAAGAATTATTCCCTTATTTCTGTGAGGCTTTAAAAGCAAGTTACATTTGCAGGTGATTTATGAAGTCACTGCCCGAGGTAAGTGTTTAAAAAATTTAGTTTATCACCTATTAAATCTTACATGCTTTATATTTGTACACATTTATGTACTGTGTGAATCTAAAAAGAGAACCAAGAACAACCACTCCTTATGAAAGCAGAAGGAAACCTCATTTCTTTTCTTCAGTACATTTCTAAGCGCATGAGTGATTTTCCACACATGAATGATTCCTACTTGGTTATCAAATTAGATTCAAGGGAAAAGTCAGTCTTCTCCATAACCAGCAGAGGGAAGGAAAAAAACACAACAAACAAAAAAAATAAAAGGAAAAAAATCAACCTTCATTATTTTCTTGCTACTTATTACACTGTTTGTGATGTACGGCAATTACGAGGTTATTGAGACAGAACAACCTTTTGTAGACAATCTTCAGGTCTCTCCATTCCAGGAAGCTGCACATTTTCGGTTTGCGGGCTAATACTGTTTGAACAAGTTCCCTTGTGATTTTCTTCTTTTCTTTGTCAGATAATGGGACATACCACTTCTGGAGTCTCAGTTTCCCCTGACGACTGAAAAGCAACATAAACTGCATCTGTTGAATTAGAAGGAAGAAAAAAAAATATATATATATCAATCTCAGTCTTTTAGTTTTAAAAAGATTTCCGTAAGGAAACACAAACAGGAAGCAGGACAGCCATCCAAAACCCTAACTACATTATGTATTTCTATAGCAGTGGCAGATGTTACACAAGATTTGGAAGTACCAATAATACAAAGGATTCCGCTGAACAAGGTCAGTCAAAGTAAAGATAGTAGAAAGGGTACACAAGTTTCAGAAAGGGGTGTAGGATCCACCAGATAGCGAGTGAATCCACCCGAATTTCAGGCAAACCACGTCCAGCACTGGTGTGGTTGCATTTGCGCTTGCTACAGAAAAAGACAAAAAAACCACCACAGCCACCTCCTCAAATATCCAAACTCATTTGCCATTCACCGGATTAGCGCCTTACAGCAGGAGCAATTTGCACTTAAGATCTTTCCGAAAAGCCTCAGAATACTTTAAAAGGCATTAAATCTCCCAACGGAGAGTCCTACGGCATAGAAAAGCCTAGTCTTTTCTCACATTACACAAAAGGAGTAGAGATTAAGTGCTTTCCCTGCGGTCCTATGTTCCAGGTCTCGCTTCCTCTAAAGGAGTGATGTTGCAATTATATTTTAAGAGGAACTTGTCGGCTGTTTTGCAGCAGCTGTAACATTAAAGGAAAACGGCTTTTCTGTGTTGGTTGGTTGTTTTTTTCTCCATTTTTGCTCAAAGTTGCGCTGGGCTGAGGAAGTTTCCCAGGCAATATGACAGATGTGAAATACGATGAGGAAGCCCAGCCTAGTCCCGGGTGACAAGTCCGACCCGGCGCCAGCACAGACAAGAGGCGGCGGCTCCGAAGCCCGGCTGTACCGGGGCTCTCCCTACCCGGGCGGGGCAGCCCCTCCGGCTCCGCAGCCGCCCTCCACCTCCCGTCCGGCCGGCATCGCTACCACGACACCACCACCACCACCCCGCTCCTCCTCCTGCCTCCCTCCCCGCCGTCCGCAAGCGGCCGCCGCGGCTCCTCCCCAGGCGGGAGCGGTGGCGGACGACCCGAGGAGGCGCCGCCGGCCGGGCGGACGGACGGACGAGGGGCGGCTGCAGAAGTGCGGGCCCGCCCCGGCCCGTAAGGAGAGCTCCGCCGGTCGAGGGGGGCAGCCGCCGCCCGGCCCGGGGTGCGGAGCGGGGGGAGAAGTGGGAGAGCCCCCGGCGGGGAGAGGAGATGGGGGTTGTGGGGAGAGGGGATCCATGAGGGGGAGGAGAGGAGGGGTCCCGCGATCCCGGGCAGGGAGAACACCTTCCCCCTCCCCGCACCCCGCGCGTCCCACGGCAGAGCTCCCGCGTCCCGGCGAGAGGCGAGCCCATCTCCACGCGGCTGTGCTCACCGTGACACGGGGTTTGGCTGGGGTGGGATGGGGTGGGGGGGGAAAGAGAACGATGAGGAGGATGAGACGGCGGCGGCACCGCTACCCAGGCGGCTACTCCTGCTGCTGCTGCTGCCGCCGCGGCTGCCGAGCGGGACTGAGGGGAGGGAGGGGAGATGCCGCCGGCTCGAGCCCGGCGAGAGCGCGCGCGCGCCTCAACGGCCGCCCCCCCCTCCCGCTCAGGCGGGGCGGGGCGGGGCTGGGCTCGCGGACGCCGCTGGCGGGCGGGGGAAGGAAGGGGGCGGGGCCCGGGGGCACAGTCGTTTCCTTCCCCGCCCGACAAAACTTTATTAGCTCGCCCGCGCGGGGGGGAGGTGGGGTGGGGGTGAGTGGTGGTGATGGAGAGGAGGAAGTGCGCATGCGCAGCGCGG